CACTAATCGATAGGCTCTCTTGAGATCACCATCCCACACACTAACTTCTGTACACTGAACACCCAAATGTATTACTAAGTCACTTTAAAAGAGCCTCTCCATGCTATATAAATTCAAGCACAGGGTGCAAATACCAGTAATGACGGGACAAAGGAGTTAAAATTAACCGCATCAGCCACAGTCAAAACTCGATTTTCATCACCATGTTCCGTGTTTCTTGTTTCTGTGACTCAGTGTTTCTCCAAAACCCTCTGTCCTCCCTTGCTCTGAACACACATTTACTCAGGCTCCTTGCAGCAGGGTGGCGCGAATTGGACACCTGATGAGATAGGAAGCGCCAGTTATACTGACCGACTGGATAAAAGAAAGCCAGCATGGCCGCTAAACAAACACCATCAGCTGCTGTTTGATCTCCGAGCTCCTCTATGAACTCCATCGATGGAAGGCAAACATGAAGCAGACACACTTCCCCAAGTCGGCCCCACATGCTGCTGCACAGCGTTGCACAGCTGAGGAGGCGTATATGCCAAGACAAGTTAAGCCTTTGACATGTGTGTGTGACTCAGGACCTCACTGGTGGAGAGTGTGTTCATGCATAAGCATGTGCTTGAACCCATTGGGCAGCCTCTATTTTTGTTTCCTCTCGCACGCATGAGCAGACAAAGAAATGGACACACACATTCACACGTCTCGAATCTAGATGAACGCTGCCGTTGCCAAAATCATGATTCAAGCTCAGACTGGAGCCCCTTGCGCTGCCAAACACACACAAACACACAGTATCCTCATTAAAATTCTCTGGCTTCTGCAATAGCAGTGTGGAGTAAGTCCTGCCACAGATAACACAGAGAAAGTAAGCTATTGTCTTATTCTAATCCTTCTTTTGAGGGAATGTAGTGAGAAATATCAGGGTGAGGATGTGTGCGAAAGCATCAGTAAAACTGATATCTACAGTTCGGTGGGTTGTTTCTCACAATACAGTATATGCATCACCTGATTCTTACTATTTCACAGCCACTGACAAACTGGCACTGGCTGATTAAGCAGACCACATTAATATCATCTGCACAGCATTAGCATACGGACCAAGAGTGCAAAGTGTTTCCTGTAAACTCCGGAAGACTTGGCAGCATTTTGACTTTCTCCTTTTCTTTTACTTTTTCCGCAATGCATCTCTGTGTTCCCAATTTATTCTGTTTTGCCAGCGTTGTTCCGACCATTTTAAAGTGAGTTTTAAAGTGGTCCTTTATCACAACCTGTACAGTAAATGCTGACCTGGACTGAGCAGGTTTAAGGCAAAGCAATTTGTTCTCCATTAGTCCATCAGGTGAAATCATTCTGCTTCGCTCTCTACGAGTTCATTTGACAACCTCTGTGTTTGCCCACAAATAATTGACTTAAAGGTTATATTGTTTATCAGTAGGAAGTGGAGTTATTCATTCAGCAGATTACTATTAGGCTTTGCAACCAATGACATTTTTTGTATTAAATAGTTTGAATAAATTCAATATTAACTCTAAAAAAATCACCGGTCCACAGAGGCGTGTTGAAATTGCTTGTTTAGACCAACAAACAATATAAAACACATCATCTAAATTGTTGATCAATGCTTTATTGAGTAATCAACTTCCATTTCAGCACCATTTAAATATATTAATATCAGTAGAAAGCATTTTGAAAACTGGTGATTACTAGAATGAGACATTAGCAGAGTAAATTCATTTACAACATGCTGTAAGTAGCAATATTTCATGCCCCTGGACTTGGGTGGTCAGTCACTTCTGTGACATTTCCTCCTGGCCACGTCCTCTCCAAATCTCTCTTCGGTTTATTGTGCTGGCGATGGTCAATGGACACTCTGAGCCTGCCATAAGCTGGCCCTGCAGAACCCTTAAGCCCTCCTCAATCAGTCAACCAATGGCACATTAGATACTCCTGCTAAATTAATGGAGCTGAAATTAAATGAAAACATTGAAAAGACCCCCCCCAGTAGGAAAAAGAAGTGAGCATCTTAAGCTTAAAATCGATTAGTGTAGGATTTGGGAAAGGTTCTTTATTAACCTTGCGAAGGACTTTCCCTACAGACCTAAATGCAGACAAACAGCTGAAGTATCAGCAGGTATAAAATGTGCTTAGATGGACTTCAGAGCTCTGTAAATAAGTTAGCTTTGAGCTGGCTGTGTAACTAATACCAGCTCCTCCGGGCTGCAGAGGTCACTTATTACTGACTCTCAACTCAGCAGAAAACCTCTGCTGTCCGTCTGTCTCGATTTAGCCTCGTATTTCCATCAGATCATTTTCCTGAAAGTGAGTCAAGCAGGTTTGCGGCTGCCTTTATGAAGAATGGGGTGCTCAGCACACTTTGATCGAATAAAAGGTGCACACGTGAATAAAAACTCTAGTGTGTATTTTGAAAATTGAAAACAAAACCTTTGATTCCAAGAAGCAGAAGCAAATAAACGTTCTCGACAGAAAACCAAGGATTCGACTGTAGAAAGATCATTCGAGTTATACGCCTCTTATTGTAAAACATGGGGCCCTGTGTCTGGTTATAGAGAGTATTTTCCCTTTGCCGTAATGGTGCAGTCCATTAGAACTGCCCGTGTTGTTTCTTAGACAAACAGAGTGATGTGAACAAAGAAACACATGCAGGATAAATCCGAAAGAGACAGCAAACTCAATTCAAGGTGTTGTTGTTGGGAGGTCCAGCTCCAAAACACCAATTTTAATGCTAATTAAAAACCGTAGCTGCAAACCACTAAAAATAGCATGTACTGCAGAGGCCCATCAATTAAATTCACCCCCGGGGGACAGCTATAACATTGCTCAAGAGGAATGATGTGTTCCGCTGGTTGTGCAACATAGCACAAAATGCTAGCTAATGAAGTACATGCATACTGTGTTACAAGGCCAGATGCAAGGACATTATCAGGATAGCAATTTAAAACGCTACCGTGTAAAGATAACCTTCATTTTATTCAATATATGAAGCTTTTTTTCTTCATGTTTTCATCACTCCCCTTTTGTTGATGCATAGGACTTATATCACCATAATAATAGCCTATATTACAAATATGTTGTTGTTATTGTGTTTTTATATTGTTCTGTACTCCTATATGTACTACTATATATCTTTACATATATATATATATATATATATATATATACTCCACACATCATGGCTGCTGGAGCAGCACAATTATCTGAATTTCTTTCACAAAATATTTGTGTTCTACTGTATATATTGTAATTGTTTTTAAGGGCATCTATCTTCAACTTCTCATTTTTATCTTAATTTGTTTGATTTAAATCATTATTTATCTGTTTTCTGTTTTGATAAAATCTTATGTTCTTCATGATACCTCAAATATGAATTTGCATCAACAATACGGAAAGGTTGAGCTCAAAATGAAGCTTGCTGAGGATCCACGCTCTCCGATTCTCCTCAGTTCTGTCCCTGACGTGTTATCTGGCTTCATTTCCACGTCTGCTGCTCCTCCGGCTCTTTAGTGCAGTCGAGGTGAAATGGTGCACGGAGGGAACGAGGTCTCCGACTGTCAGCTCCTGAGATACGCTCAGCCCCGGCTCTGCTGCTCCACTAAGGCCTTCCACCAGCTTACTAAACAAGTTTCAATTCCACAACCTTTGCCCGTGTCAGTCCACATAAACAGATACAAGGATGTTGGCTCACACACAGCGAAGGAAAGAAAAAGACAGAGACGGGAAAGAAAACATGGGCAGAGGAGAGGCCCATAACAGACAGAGAGGCCAGCGTTGCTGCTCTGCGATGCTTCAAATGAACGTAGGCTTTACTAGAAACGAGTCACGGACTGGAAGGAGATCAAGTACATCTTATTTAGTGCGAATGCTCTGCTCCACCACCTCCTCCTTTCCTCTGTGCCTGAAAAGTGGATGTTTGGCAACAAATTAAGAGCGAGGTCATCGATTATATTAGACTTATATTAGATAAGATAAAGCATGTTTTGACTTTGCAGCGTGGCATGAAAAACAAAGCAGTGATTGAGTGCTACCGAGGGAGCGGAGGCTGAAGCAGAAGTGTAAATTGAAGGAGGCGGCTTACAGATCTTTCAAAGGCACCAAACACTAAATTTTAAATGTATCTTGGCAGAGTTTTTTTGAAGCTGAAACAGTAAGACTAGAGTTCCTCCCTTGATACATCTGATTACAATACAACTATATATTATTCACTGGATATAAACTCCCACTTCCCTCCATTTCTGAGGGTCCGGCAGCGACTCCCTTGTCTCTCGCCTCACTTTCGACAACTCACAAGGTGAAATCGGACGATCAATTCCCAGTCAATAAAAACAATAATAATTAATCACAGTGGTCTTTGATGAATGCTAATGAGCCTTTTACCGTTTGTCGTACAGATACTCTAAAAATAGAGAGGTTGCACTTACAGTCGATGGCTTTGTCAGGATAACAACAGCGTTTTAGCTTAATTGCCATTCTCAGGAGAGCGCAGGGGGGTCTCTTCGGATGCTCTACCTCCGAATAATAAGTACATTTTCATTCAAAGCAAAAGTATGGAACGGTGCTATATTGTGCCGTAAGCTTTCATGTAGTTTCACACTGATCAGCATTAATAGTTCATTTCACATAATGATATATTTCCCAGCACTTTGAATTGATTTAATAAAGCATATACGTGCTGGTTACAGTTTAAAAGCTAACTGCGCTGGAAGCGGCAATATACTACCTTTTGCTACACTGCTAACTGACTTTGTTGCATATCAGAACTGTGAATAGAAACCTTTTCAGGGTCATGTTTGTCCGGAATGTGTCCTAGTAGTGAATTAGGAAGTAGACAAAGTGACACCGCGGCCGGTCCTTCGCACAATAATAAAGATACAGACTCTTGATAGTCGCACCTTTGGGCAACTTACCATCTTCAGTCTGCCTCACTTGGATGTCTTTGTAAACCAGGAAGAAACACGTGATAACGTTTTTTCAGTCATGTATGTCATTGCACTTACAGTAGACGTCCACCCTGATGGACTTGATAGCCGGGGATCCAAGGCCGTTCTCAGCCTTGCAGTAGTAGCGACCTCCCTGGGTCCTCAGGATCTTTGTGATGTGCAACGTCTCGTTGAACACACTGGAGTCCTGGAAGCGGTCCGACACACTGCCTGCTGTCTTGGTCCATCGGATCTGTGAAGAACAAAGGCCGGGAATGACTTCAGGTCTGATTTAGAGTGAGGGGTCCAACGCAGCTTCAGGTAGAAAGTAGATATACAGGTTGAATCAAGATGGCACAAAGACAGTATGCACTAATTTCATCAGTATTCATTGCAGCCAGTTTCACTTCTTTTTAAAATAAATATTGTTTTTATTTTGTGTTCAGTGTCTTTTGATCGCTGTAAAAGCTCATTATGGTTATGCCCTTTGAGCAATGGAAGGTGTCTTTTAATGTGAAATGTCTTTGCAGGAAGTGTTGGCTTCATTGACAGTGGCTTAACACAGATGGAAAATCAACAAACTGGAAGCGACTGGAAATAAAAAGTGAATTAAATCTGTGCTTTCATTTGTGAGAAGAGACTCGGAGCAACTCCCTCAATCAAGAGAACAGGTAAGCGTGGAGGAAGTGTTGCGTTTGCATTAACAGCAAACAGCATCGACAACCATAGTTGGAGAAACAGTTACTGCACCGGACCAAGACATAGTCCACCGCATAAGCCTCCATGAAATTAGTTTTTTTGAAGGATTAAACAAACAAGATACAATGTGTTGATAAGTGAGCTTTAGAGGTGTTGGTAGGTGGATTTTGTTACCTTTGGCGAGAGTCAGCGTAGCTATTTCCAGCTTATTATTATTATCTAACATATACGAGAGTGATATCAATCTTCACATCAAACCCACAGCAAGAAAGTTAATACGCTTTTTTGTCCCCAAAAAAACAAACTATTCATTTAAAACAGGAGCAGATCAGAAAATAGGCTTCTTATAGACACACAATGAGATATATAACAAAGGAAATTGGAACTAAAGGAATTTCCAATATGAGCCTGTTCCAAGTAAGGGTTTGTTTGTCTCTGTAGTTGAGATAAATAAAGGCCACTATTTGAGAAGTTGCAGAAGATTCAAATGAAGTTATTGCATTTACGTTTGTTATATTTTCTTGTGTTCTGTATTTAACGATATGCACAGATGCCCGTTTAAAAGATGTTCTTCTGTGAAATGCCGTCGTACAAAGGAGGACTTGAGAGCTAATAATCTTCCTCTAACCTCCGTTTTTCCTCCATTCCGCACAAGGCGACACCAGCGTGGCATTCTCAGCACGAGTACCTTTCACTAACTGATGAGACCCAGTTAGCCCATGGCATCGAGGTGTAATGAAAGGTGAAATAGTGTCACTCTCCTACATGGGGTTGTAATTGACTCTCCATCATCTCCATCTCCTGTCCTCATTAAAGCATACAGCATGAACAGGTACTGTGACAACTCTGGCCTGGGGGGCCACGCAGCCAGAACTACAGAGCATAAAGCTCCATTCAAACCCTCATCCTAAGTAAGCCACAGATGGACTGGCTTTGCCTGCAGAACCTTACATATCTCTGCCGAGGCAGGGGGGAGGAATTAGAATCCAATATCTCCACACTGTATGGCGATAGCATCATTTTGGATACTGATAACATCCCATTTTACAGAGATAGCATCAGATGGAACAGGGATATCGCTACATGGAGGGATGAAGATAGGGTGCATTCTTGGGAGATTGCTGCTGGTGCTGTGGGGTTTTAACCATGGCGACTCCAGCCCAAGGATACGACAGCTTGAAGTTTGGTCATTTTCCTAACGGACAACAGAAAGGAAATGAAAGGACGGTTGGCCCAAAACCTGATAATGGTGCCCTATTCCAAACGCTGTTTTTTTGTGTGTGTGCGTGCGCTCAGGGCTAGAGGATGACAAGGAGAGGAATTCACATGCAGCAAAAGTTTATCAGAGGAGTTTCAGATTCTCTGTCTTGCTCGGGGTGTTTACTGTTCAGAGTGGCAGAAATAAATTAGCTACCCTGAAACTCAAAGACTGTGTGTGTGTGCTGTAGTTCTCCCTTTCATCGACCTCTCTCGCTGGAAAAAAGTCTGTAGCCAGACTGAGCTTCTGTGCCATCCATTTATACTGCCTTTAAGTGGATATATTGTCATTAAAAATAAATGCCTGAAAATGAATACACTTCACTGAAATGGCTTCACTTGGCCTGTTTCAAATGCATCAAGAGACACTCCGTGAAAAAGCCCAAACTCAGCAATTGATCGATGCTAAAGCCCCACTGTTAGGAAACCTGGAGCTCTATTATAACAGTTAGGGACATCATGAGTTCAGCAAAACCAGCCCCAAAGTTAAATAAGTTATGATTATAAATTAGATGGAGCAAAGTCTTTGAATTCTGTGTCACTCTCCCCACGGTGCTCTGGATCCCCTCATGTAAATACAAAGCAAGCTGATTTATGGCGACCTCAGCAGAATTCAGTATTCTCCCAGCTTATACCACCAGTCATTTCCTTTGCCTTTTGTGTAAAGAGCTTTGAGTTTTAGGAAAGCGCGGTATCAATAAGTGCATTGTTGGAGCGATGCTAAGAAGTGGGTATTCAAACAACACTTCATATTTTCAAAAGGAAAGTGCTGCTGTTTGTTTCACGAGGGCAGCAGACCACATTATTGGTGAGCTTTAAACTCCCCCTGTACCCTGGAGCTATTTTCATTCTTCCACTCCCTTTGACTTTTTTCTTCTGAGCACTTCTGCTCACAGGGGGAGTCCTGAAGTACGCCTGGCGAGAACAGTTTGACCCTCTTCACTCTCCTCCGTGCAATGCAAATACTCTTGATCTGAGAGGAGCTGGTGGATTTGAGCAATATGATAATTGCTGCTCCTAGCCCGCCAACTGCCTTGCTGAGTTTCTTTTGACTGTTTGTGCCTCTCCTTTGTCAATCCTCAGCTGAAACTAATAAGGTGCTCTTTAGTATACACTGGGGACTGAGTCAAACTGCCAAAGATGTACCACCCAGCCACTGTTTTATAGAAGTAATATATTATTCCTGTGGGTCCCTTGCAACTGTGTGCATATATTATTACCATGAAATGTAAATGGGGTCTGGTATTCATGTTCACCTCGCATAGTTTAGAAAAAAGGAGTTTATGTGCATATTTAGCATATTCTATTAAAAAAAAGAAAGCATAAAATACATGACAGCACTTAGTTCCACAGGGGAACAGCAGAGTCTACGCACTAATGACGTCATTCCCTCTTAAATTAGACATCCCAATAGAAGATCAACATTTGCTTACAAGGAAAGCAGAAGCTCGTCTCGATCAGTATCCAACTGAAAATCCCAGCAGTGTTCGAGACCACACATGCTGCGATGTCACGGCAAGAGCTAATTAAAATGCGCCCAGTGTCTGTTGTTATGCAGGGATCATATGCTGGAGCACGCGTCTTCGGTGAATCTCCCATAATGCCTGCTGTGACGTTTCCCTCTCCCTAACAACAGACTGGTTTGTAATTGCTTGCCATCTTTTGTTTTCCGGTGCTGATGGCGGACTGTGCCGCTCAGTGGTGAAGCCAAGTGTGGCTGAGCATGACAATCAAGCGATCAGTGGAAGCAACAGGGGGTCCAAATCACACATTGTGAGTGCAAAGACTCTAGGTCAGGTCTAAATTAGAAAGTACTGTACCTTGTAAAGAAACAAAACTGGATGACAATATGAAACAAACTACAATGGTCTTTGATATCAAAATAAAAATCATCAACATTTGCTTTGGTGTTGAACTACTTATGGTATGTTTGCTGCAGTTAAAGTCACTTTAAAGACAACAGAGTATGACTGCGGGTGCATTTGGACAGGGTGTAGTTCAAGGGGAAGCTCTACGGTGCTCCCTACGATACTGCAGTTTGCATGGCAAAAAATAGAAAGTTTAAAAAAAAAAAAGCACCATCTGCTAAAGACACCGGCACTGTAGGCTAACTGTCATGGGAGCATCCAAAACAGATCACATACTCCAATTGGTCTGTGTAAAGCGAAATGTCCCAAGGCCCGAGGTCAGCCTATTTGTAATCGCTGACCCGTGGCGCTGCGAGTTGAATCTGGCCAGCCAATAATTGAAACCAAAAAAAAAAGGTGTTTGCAGTGTGGTGTTGCTGGCTATTGGAGGGAGCCTGGTACTCAAACAAAGTAGTGTGGACACAATGGATGGAGGCCAGGGCCGGGGGAGCGAGGGGGCAGATGGCTTCATCATCATGGGACTCTTTGATGTCTGTTCACGGCATCAAAGACAATGAAAGAAGCTGGAGGACGGTGACCATGAAAGTATGAACAGATGAAGCTGTATACTGTATATGCGGTGTTCTGATACAGAGACAAAGAGAGTGAGATAGTGATAAAGACATACCATGGGGAGAGGGTTTATCTTTATACGTATATTCAATGGAGGCAGGGCTGAGTGTAATACTTATTTTCAGTATTGATGATTCATTAATTGTCTGATTAATTGTTTAATCCTTACATCTATTAAATGTCAAGAAAACAGTGAAACATCCTCATTACGTTTCCAGAAACCTCAGGGGACATCTTCAAATTGCATTGATTCAATTTATATTGATGTAAAACAGAGAAAAACAGCAGATCTTCACATGTGAGAAGCCGTAGTCGGCTAAAGCTCGGCAATTCTGCTGAGTGAGTGACTCGGATATCAAAATTGCAGTAGATTAACTTCATGTTCATCGACCAATTGATTAACCGCTGAATCGTTACAGCACCAGATGGAGGGCGATGGTAGAGAAACAGACGGGACATGTTAGTGTTTTATAGATATAGAGTTTGGAGAGGCGCGGCCATCGAATACGATTTTTTCAAACGTTTTGCGTGTATTTACAGTATATTTGATTGTGTCTATACATTTGACCCCGAAACAATTAATCCTTTAATCTCAAATATGTCCCAAAAAAGTGAAAAATGCTCATCACGAGTGACCCGCTCAACATCCACATGTTAGCATTTAGCTCACAGCCACTACTACCATGGCTATACTTCTTGTTTTGTTGTTTGATGAACAGTTCATTGATTATCAATACTGTTGTGGATTAATTCTCTGTTGATGTACTTCTTTTTTTTCAGCAATACACAGAAGGAAGCGACAGATCAAGAACATGGACTTGCTCTGTGTGAGTGCGAGCAGGAAAAGCACTGGCCACATCTACGATTTTCTGTTTTATTCTTCTCCTCGGAGATTCAAGTTCCACAAATCCTTCCAGTGACCTCTGCACCAGAGACCCATGACAATTTAACTTCATTGCCCCCTGAGCCTGCCAGATGCCAGCAGTCCCAGTCTTCCTGCACAGCCTTCAGTAACACCTTGAAATGCCAAACCCACGAGGCACAGCGGAAGAAAAGCACATATTATACGGTGTACCGGTGACTGACAGGAACATATATTTATTTGACAATTAAATGGGAAGGCAGACAAGTGTTGAGTGTGTGCGTGTGCCATTGTGTGTGAGGTTGGATGCATGTATGCTTTTATTATTAGAAAGCCTCTGTGTTTTTTTTCTTCCTCCGAGGTGAGTGGGCAGATGTGCACGGGGCTGACAGCGAGGCCCACTGTGAGGAAGCTGCTGCTGCTGCCTGGTTGGACACAATCCAGAAACTCCATCAGCGGGAGGGCCTGAGGGGCGTCTATGCAATTTAAGAAGTGTGCATATTGATAGACACGCGAAGAATTAAACAGTGGCGAAATTGCCAAGTGTGGCCCCATTTACTCTGTGGTTGGTCCTTTGTGGTGCTGATGTTGTACTTGGCACAACACCCCTCCGTCTATGTATCATCATGGGAGCTTTTGCAGTATCTCAAAGTCAGGGAAAGAGACGGGAAACTGGACAGTAATGATGGAGAAAGCAATTTTCTGATTTGCTAATGCAGAACTAATTGAAGCTACTTACAGTGATCGAGTAGTGTGACTTGGCCCCCTGTGATATCGTGGTGCAGATGGAGAGAGTGGTTTAAGTTATTGTTGGTATGGAAGTTCTTTAAGAAAACAAAATTGAAAAATGATTTCACAGACCAGAGAAACTACTTTCCCATTAATCTGATGCGTCTCTAGGGGTGGTGGGGGGGGGGGGGTTCTAGGGCCCAGAATCTTTTACTGTTCATCACGCGTGGCATTTTCTCTACTCAACCCAGATCACGGCCGCGTAGGAACAAATGTGTTTTGAACAGCGTGGTCAGAGTGAAGCGCTGACGGAGTGCTAAACAGAGCCCAAAATGTATGCATGAGCGAATTCATATTCATTCTTATAGTTGTATGCCAAAAGCAAAAGATGGAGGACATCAGTGTCTTTTTTACAGGGGAACAAATGTGTCTGTAACATCTTAGCTAATAAGAATGATCGTTGACATAAGAAAATCAGAAACTAAAATGTGCACAGTATGATACAAGTCCTGCTTTGAGGAAGTTTACAAGTAAAAACATCTTGCAAACATTTTGCTTTATCAAGGCCTATGTGATTGTACATACAGTATGTGTATGTTCATGCATGCACATGACTTACAACAACAAATAGAGAGACACACACACAATTGTTTATACAGTCTGACAAAAGAGTCCCTGCCAAAGGCAAAACCAAACGTGTGCCCATGTCATTAATCAAGACAGGACATGAAATAACCTTTGCAAAGAGCACTGATTACTTTTTTCCCCCCACATATGCTCTCGAAAGATGAGGAAACTCAACTCAATTAAATGCGGAACTTTGGGGCAAAGAAAGACTCAGAACATGGTCTGAGAATTACTATTTAACTGGAATGAAAAGACGAGCCGTTATTAACTCGCCAGTGTGTTTCCGATGAGGTCGCAAAGCCCTCGTGTTCTTCGACCAACATCACAAAACCAGCCGTGGGTCCACCGCCACCCCAGATAACCTCGCCTGCTTCCGAAACTACTCAGTATGAGTGTGCGCCTCCCCCGGTCCCATGCCACTACCAGAGGGGGGAAAAGCTGACACATCCCATAGTCCGGGGAGACACAGCCGAGAACCGCTGTGCCAGGGGAACTGTGCGAGTCTCATAATGACTCTGTTTCAAAGGAGATCCTGCCTCTCCTGCCACAGCCGTGCAGGGCTTTTGATCTCCCGCCCCCTCCCCCTCCCCCTCACTCTGCTCTGGTTTTCAGAAATTCTAATTAAGAGGAAAAGACAGAGATGATGAGTTGCGAAGATGTCCCCCCCCCCCCATCTGACGAGTAGGGGAGGTGAATGGTGTGCCTGAACGTCTCGCTAATTTAAGAGGCCTCACCTTTTCAAGTGAAATATAAAAATCAATACGCTCTTCTGCTTTGGCATCCAGAGGGGTGGAGTGTACAAACAAAAGGCCCCGTCCATTGATCAAAAGGGGAATTATAGTAATTAATGTAAATGAGCTCAGTTCGGTCCAGAGATAGTGCTGAATTCCGGCTACCTTCTTTGTTATCGAGCAAATTGGAAACAACATTCGATAAATGTTGGAAAGGTTAGTGTGAGCAAATCCTGTCCAGATTAAGTGAGAACAAAATGTGATGGTCGGGTCATTTGTGGCAGAGCTGACATTTATACCTGCGTTAGTTGGTATTTAGTCGAAGCAAGTAGATGAAATCTTGTTTCTGCCTTTATCTTACTTTTCTGAACATATTTTTCATGCACTTACTTCTATGATCTGGATGAGAAAAGAATAACTAAAAGAACAAATCAACGGCCCATTTCCTTTGGAAAAAGGTGGAAGACTTTTTAAATTAGTTCAGATCTCAACAGTAAATAAAAGAACTTGAAAAGAAAGAAAAAGCGGTCTCTCAGATGTCGAGGACCCGTGTGCATTCACATGATCGAGCGTCTTTTCACTGTGGCCTGCTTTCACTCGTTAGACTTTTTGTTTTGGCAGATGTTCCGGCTGTTTTGTTTCTGCATTCTAATTAGATTTGGAAGCTTTCATTATCAACATGCAGGTGCACAATGCACCCCAAACCATCAATAATTAAAGGACTGAACTCCTCAGCTGGTTTCCGTGCAGAGGTACCTCGTGTGCCACTCAATGGTTCTAATAAAGAATGAAAAGAAAGCTGATGAAGGTGAGTGAGGAGAGGAGAAACGGACAGGAAGGATAGTCTTGTCCCATGAGTCCCTTGTGTGGCTACTTTTGTCCTGCTCCTCACCTGTGGTCGAGGATGCCCCGTCACCAGACAGGTGAGCTCCAGGGTCTCTCCCTCTCTGATGGTGTAGACCCTCTCCGTGTGCCTCTCCTCTTCAACATTACAAGCATGCCCCGAGTGTATGATGCGGACGGTCGGAGGCGCTGCGGAGGGAAAAAGAACAAAGCGTGTTAGCATTCTGATCATCTCTGACGGAATGAGCGGTTTAGCACAACAGATTGTGTATTGATTAAGAGGTCGTCCCACTCGGGGGAAAGAAAAGTCTTCAAAGCGTCGTGGCCACGTTTGTACAGCGAACAACAAACCAGAGATGTTAGCACAAGAAAAAATAGAAAAAGAATTGCCATTTCTTTTGTTTTATAGCATTCAGTTTGGTTTAGCTTTTCAAATATTGCTAGAACGTCAAATACAAAGTCGAGGGAAGCTACTTGTGGAAAATGATTCACTGCCTGCTTAGTTGTCATTTGAAGTAAGTTGTGAGAGTCGCACTTTCACAGACACGTACTGATGGCGCTCGTGCAGCAGAGTGTGTTCTCAAACATGTTTTAACAATGGTGTTCTATTTCTCTTTTTTAATCTTGAGCAAGTCCTATATCCGTCAAGTGTGATCAGTTGGACTGAGTTCCCACTACACTTTCAAAGCCATTAGATCGCTGCGCTGCTCACACGACTTACTGTGATGTAATCGAAAGTATTTAAGTCGTTTTGGGTTGTTTTTCACTCCATTTCTGACTAATGTTGCACGTTTAACGATACTAGAAAAGTATCACAAAATCCTGACAATAAAAAACGTACAACACCCCATTTTATAAGTACTGCTACCTAAAGGATAACAGTGTTTTATTAAGAGCCATACGTATGAGTTGTTTCTTTTTTAAATTTGCACTAACAAAGATGAAACACTTCTACTGTATTTATCTATGTATTTACGTAACTTGGTAGCGCAACAAGAACTGCTACACAGGCCCTTGCATTTCGATTGGCTCTTAGATTTTTCTTATTGAAAGAAAAATAACACAAATTAAACTGATCACACTCATTAATTAAGTCATTTTAAATCAATATTTGACCTTGTGACCCTCTGCGATACTTGCAGACCTTCTCTGGAGCACCTTGGCCCCAGCCCCGCCATCTTAATTACAGTTGGGAGGAAATAGATTCAGTAGTTATGACAAAAGCAGTAACCAATCAGTATCACTCCACTCTGATGCAAAGTGACACTCACTTTGCATCTTAACCAAATTACCTCGCGTAATCAGAAATGATTCAAATGCAGTGTCAAGTTGATGACCAACTGTGAACGATTGATGGTTGGCTGCAAAACAACTAATTTATCTCATTCCTCATCCTCCCCACTCCCTCGCTGTGGGGAGATACGTATCAGGACGGATTTATAACTCAGTCTAATTACACGCCAGAAGGGTTTCATTACAAAACCTTACACATGTACATGAAGAACATTCTCTCAAATGAATCAGCCATGACTCAAAAACGTGATCATATTTGAGCTAAATGTCTTAACGTGACTTTAATATCATTTTGATACAAGATTTCAATATCAACATATTATATTCTCAACTGTCATTAGAACATCTGGAGAGTAGGCGTCTATGTTTAAATAAGTGACTCTCTTATTTTGGAACAGAACTCGTCATTTAGCACATTTATTTGAGCACATCATTTCCTTATGTAATACAATCAAGGATATCAAAATGCCAGAATCTGTGATGTGGACAATAACAGCTCAGTATCCAGCAGCACATACTGCAGCACAAGATCAGGGCAGAAAAACCCACAGCTGTAGTTACTGCACTGGTGTTTCTCTCCCTAATAGCTGACCCTTGAGAGACTGTAAGGACATTGCAATCCCTCCACAGCCCAACATGCAGCGGGGCACAAGCAGTGGGGGTTAAAACAGAACGGAGAAATGAGTCATCTTCGGTGAAGCGCCCCCAAAAAAACTCAGTTCCAAAGAGCTGTGAAAGCGCAGTCGCATGTAACCGACCCCTGACAATATTAGCATCTGTTAAGCATTTATTCCTCTTCAACTTACATGATTAGTGAAGAGGTTTGGGATGAGATGATTTAGAGAGCGGATACGGGATATGATTAGGAGGAGGACTACAAATTGGTGAAAAAAAAAAAAAAAAAAAAAAAAAAAAATCAAGCTGAAATCACAAGGAGTTACTGACTGCAGTGTGCCTTTCATGTTGGAGGAGCAGCTTCCTGTGTGGGCTTCTCTCAGCAGACTCAGCGTTGGCAGCAGACTCAGTTCTACCTCTATCCAGGCTGCGATGCTAATGAGTGTGGCGACACTCCTCCCTACCGCTGCATTGGGAGTCTCAGCAGGAGTGTGTCCTTAGCCACGCACTAACCACCCATCCCTCCCCCGTTACCAACCGCGCTGTTTGTCTCACTCAGCTTATTGCCTCGCCGTGCTCGCCGCTGCACGCAGATTGATGAACACTGATGCGAAACGCTAACTGGCTACTCATAAAGCCGCGTTGGACCGCTCCTGCTCTCACCCCTCCTTGTCTTCCCTCTCTCCATTCAGAGATGAATACACTGGTGGTGAACTCCATAGGGGCGGATAAGGGCTTGAGAAATAGGCTCAGTGTAAGGGAGCTTCACGCAAGGCTGCCACTTGAAACAAAAAAAGGGCTCGGAAACAAGGCCCCAGGGCACGCACCGAACAAAGTACTAATGCCATTTACTCCAATGAGCCAGTATCTCCGCAGCACACCATCAGCCCTGGAGGAAAGTAGGGAGACACCCGTAATTAATGATCTTTAACTGCTATAGCAGCTACTGCCGCAGCCGCACACACATAAACACACACGTGTTCTTTATGCAGACAACACTAAGCTCACAGCGACGAAAGCAAATAACACTCTCTTTAAGCATACATAATGAGCGCCATAATGTTCTCGGAGAGTCACACATATCAGCTAAGACCTCAGCTCACTTGGCCCAAAGCATGAGACACAATCACTGTCATTACTACATCATTTTCTGTTGGTTTACTTTTCATGAAAGCCACTTGATATACTGGCAGTAACTACTCATAGTGTTTTCAGAAAAGACATCCAACGATGGATAATGAGACATTAATGCACTGGGACTTGGGGTAGCACAAAGTGAGACGTCAAAGCGCTGACAGGTTTGAGATAAAAGATGTCCTGGTGGAGGAGATATGGGTGATAGACAAAGCTTTGAATAGCCCTTAGTATCTGAACTACATCACATACAAGCTGATTGTGGGGATCAGGATTCTGTCTTATTCACTGGAAACGTTATGGTGTGACGGTGTAACGTCTTCTAAATGTTCAGGCTGTTTGTGGGTCAATAAGAACGTACTAACACACACACTGACAGAGTCATTCATCGATTAGTTCTATTTGTGCTATGTGAATTTTTGAAGTACATTTGTCTAATTGTCAGTCAAAATATTAAGTAACATTTCAGTGAAATGTAGAGACTTTGTTTTCGACAATGCATCCTGAATATCTTAAGTTTACATCACAGGCTCATTGGGACACATAACACTTCCTAATACCAGTGGAATATAGCTCAAAATGTTTACTTTCAAGACCTCTTTTTATCTTTAAAGGCCTACATATTACATCTTATTTCAAGAACTCTTACCAAGCCAATTATAACTTGTTGCATTGGCAGCTTTTTTTACATGTTACAAGCAAAAACACCTTCTGTTCATTGTATTCAAGTGGCCTTTTTTCCAATGCAACATCTTTTTTACTCCACATAAAATAGATATGATGCTCTAGACTGGGTTTCAAATGATTTCTCAGTGGTGGAAGGGCATTCAGATCTTTTATATACATGAAAGTAGAAATACTCCACAAACTGCTACAAACAAACATCCTGCAATTATACTCAATAGGTACCATGTGGAGTTTTCTTGAAAACAAACAAAGGTTGTGTTTACATTCATTTGAAATTGTACAATGTTAACATCGATGTTTGCTTGCCGGCATTGTTCTTCTATTCTACGTTTCTTGGCGCTTTTTCCCTCACCGACGTTCAATCAACAATACGACACGCTGTAAAATGCACTTACACGATACAAACAAAACCCACACTTCAAAAACGTTGCTCCATACCTCCACAGGGTGCCTCTATGCAAAAGCACAGAAGTATAATCAGCGTAATGTACTTAAAATTAGGAGTGAAAAGTACATCAACTCCCAGCAGTCCGCTAAAACATCTGTTTGGATAGTCACAGACATCCTTCAACACTCCATTAAAGAGCTACAAGTAAATGTTTAAGGACAATTAATCAATAACAAACTTTTCTAAAGCACCTTCTTCTACTCCTCATATCCCTCCGGAGCAAAACAATATGTTAAAAGAGTGAGTGGTCATGTGTGTTGAGAAGCAAAGCAAAGGTAACTTGGGAGCGAATTTCTGCACATTTGGATGTTAATTATTTTTTAGATCTTGTTTTTTTTTTTCTTCGTTTTTTTTCTGCCGGTTGGGGAATTGGCATCGGCATACGAAGCACATCTGCCACTCACAGAGTGTGAGAAGTGCAACACAGTGCAGGGGAAAATCAATGCTAAATATTGAGTGGATCCGCGCAGTCAAACTAATGCAGAGTTATTCTGAAATCACTCGTTTGTTTGCTCGACAAGCACTTGTGATTAAACAGCGTTGTTGCAAATGTCGAGCAAATGTTGCCACAAACCTGTGGGTTAAGTTATGGCATTTGCATAAATGTGCATTTCAGGCTGTAGTGTCACCCCCCCCTGCACCCCTCCCAACCATCTGCAGGCACACACACACACACACACACACACACGTTTCTTGATAACTATACAATTTTTTTAGGGAAAAAGGAAGCAGAAGAGCTGCAGGCTAGGAGCTGGAGTCTCAGACGTGCCTCTCTTTTTCATTTCATTATCTCATTTCCATAACAGTGACATCATTCCCCCCCTCTGCAGAAACACACGACAGGGAGAGAAAAGGTAGGAGAGGGGAGGAGAACAAGAGACTGCCTCTGCACATATAGTTGTGCATTTTAGATTGTTACTTTAGTGCTCTCTCTTCATCTCCAGTCTGCATATGTGTGTGTGTTTGTGTGGGCATTGTGCGTGTTGAATGTGCAGCTCCGACTGGAGTGACT